ACGAGCTATGACCTAAATGTAATTATAGTTTTGAGTAGATTTTAACTTCATTGAAACCTTCACACTAAAAATTTAAAATTCTGTGCAATAAATCTTAGGTTAATTATTTAACACTCTCCTTGTATTTAGAAACGGTCCTCGTGGTTTTTCTTATTTGAGAATAATTAATTGAACACAATATTTAGATTATGCCACGGGAAGAACGATTCAGAGAAATGGTGAACAATCTTCTGCAATGGGTTATTATATTACTATCTTTAATTCCCTCACCACTTTCTGTTGGCGCCAAGCACACTAATGTTTCATACCCTGGTGGCACACGTGATTAGATTAGGTCATAACCAGGGTGGTGACTCATAATAGTCTTTTTTTTTTCAACGTGAATGTAATAACTGTGAACCTCTGCTCGTAAACATATATATAGTTATTCTTCTGTATAAATGCTTTCATGTTTTTCTTCACATGTTTTATCATAGTTGACAATGCACAAACAATTTTGTAAATAGTAATAAAAACAAGTAAGGAAATTCAAGGTAAACTGCTAGAAAACATTTAATTATACTTAGGTACATGCAAACAAACAAACAAACACGCACAAATTATTGGTTTTCTGCTAGGATTTCTTATTTTGTTGTTTGGATTTTGGATGTTTTAAAGGCTCCATTGTCGTACGTTAAATTAAAAAAAAAGGTTGATCCAAAGTTTAGGAAATTATAAAAATATACTAGTAAGTAATAAACCTAGAAACTTCACTGTAATATTTAGATTCACAAATACCGTAAGAACGAATTATTTGAAAGAAAACTAAGTTGCCATGACAACATGACATAGGCCAGTTACGTTGTAACTGTATCTACTAGAGAGAGTAGATATTGTTTCTAGGAATTGTATCCATGAAAGAATCTACTGTAAATCCTCCCCCCACCCCTGTTTGATACACCTACAGAGGAGAAAGTTGCAGCATACATTTCTAAAATTCTCTACGAGTGTATAGAAAAATACACAAATCATTAAAAAAAACTGTGCGTTTGAAGGATTTGAGGAATGGAGATGTATTTCTTTTTTTTGTATTTTAAGTAGGCTTGTTATGAATGCTGCTCCTCAGTTAAGTCAACTGTTTTAATTTTTATTAACTTTAATGATTTTATTTTCTTTCTTTTTAAGAAATGGGTTTATCATAGTTTAATAATATACACTGGGTCTTGTTTACCGCGCACTCTTCTAAAAACTACAATATTCAAAATTGGAAACTATCGATCCGAAGAAACAGAAGCAACATTGCCATCGCGTTTGAAAGACGTAATTTTATCATTTGGTAAACTTTAAGCAGCCTAATTATGAGTTCTTAAGCAACGTCAAATCAATAATAAGCACATAAAAATATAAACTGTAAAATTAAGTTAAATTTAGTAAATTAATCCTGGATATCCAAATGACTAAATATATATACTGCCATATATGTACATATATGTACTGCCATAAATCAGTACACAAAAATCAAAGTCTACAATGATTAAGATATACTCAACCAGCAGATGTTTCTCAGGAACTTGAGGATGATCTAAGTTGTGAATACAAAGTAAACAGAAAGTTTTGCTCTACTTAAAACTAGTTAAGTCAATATCAAAAGTGCCATACTTAAAGTTTTAATGTACTAATGATAAATTACTGAAGTAAAAGTTGCATATCTTTGATCATGGAATAGTTTTATGGCTCAGTGTATATAGTAAAATTCAGTCTAATATTTATTTTAATATTGGTAAACATTATGGTGTTTCTTTATATAACCATACTTGGACTTACCATAAAACATTCAACTTTCCATTGGTATTAATTTTTCACAGTCTTCGGGTATATCAAGGATTGAAAACACTGATGTTTAGTTTAATTATTACCAAGAATATATTTTTTTTAACATGCTGGACTGAGAGAGTGACCACATTGTCTCTCAGAACGATTATGGTTCGCATCCCAATGCTGCTAAAAAGTGCTATGCAATTTGCAGCGGTGGGTATGCTACAAGATAGATAGATAGTATAATCTCACAATTAGGTCATAAAACAGTTGTCCAAGTAGTAACAGTGGGTATGCTATAAGATAGATAGATAGTATAATCTCACAATTAGGTCATAAAACAGTTGTCCAAGTAGTAACAGTGGGTATGCTATAAGATAGATAGATAGTATAATCTCACAATTAGGTCATAAAACAGTTGTCCAAGTAGTAACAGTGGGTATCTTTCTCTACTTGCTTTCCTCCTAGTCTATCAGTTTAAAATTAGGGACGGGTATGCGCAGTAAACCGTTGTTGTAAACCCTTACGTATGACAATCATAAAACAGTTGTCCAAGTAGTAACAGTGGGTATCTTTCTCTACTTGCTTTCCTCCTAGTCTATCAGTTTAAAATTAGGGACGGGTATGCGCAGTAAACCCTTGTTGTAAACCCTTACGTATGACAATCATAAAACAAAAAACAAATCATCGATTAATTCTCTTCGATGTTTATAGTGTTTTCTATGATCAGAGGGTCTTACATATTGATTATGAATGAGTGAATTTAGTGTAAAGAAGGGTTCCAGCCAAAAATGCATTCATGTTTACTATGTTTTATATTAATATCTAAAATAGGACTGCCCTCAGTTTAGAATATACCACCGTTTGATATGTATATATATGTTTCATAGTTGAAGTTACTCTCTCTGTTTCTGTGATTGCTTCAGTTCGTCTGCTTTGTTTTATTCCTAGTCTAAACACTACAGAAATACTACCATGGTAGATGGTAAGTTAAGAATACTCTGTGGATCACACTGTGAAATCAGTGTTGCTTAAACTACCTTTGTGGAAACTAATAGCCCCTTTGTGGTTAGTACTGTGGTAATGCATAATTTATTATTTACAGGCTAGAGGAGTTTAGCATCAATTAAAGCACAGGAACTCTTCCCCACTTGTGAAGTCCATCGTAACACATTTGTCAGTACGCAACCCAGGTAGCGTTGTGCCGTCCATAATTCCAAACACAGTAAGGTAATCGTCTAAAAGAAACAACTTTTATTTTTTACTTTATTATTTTTAATTACAACGTAACTTTGTTATTATTAATTACAATGTAACATTTTTAAATTATGTTAATTTTAAACACTACATCCCAGTGTAAACAGAACGATTTTTACACTATTACTTCTAATACTATGATACACTTGAGAAGTTTGTCACAGAACTTGGCACAGACTCTTCTCCAATAAACTCCTCAAGGTTCTTCTGGTGATAGTGCCCAACAGAAGTAGCATCGTCCTTCATTTATATCTTGGCGTTATTTTCAGTTACATAATTCCACCTTCTTTCCTCCAGTCTTCCAGTTGACCAATGTGGCCTGTGTTCTATCTTTCCCGTTTCTTTCCTCCAGTCTTCCAGTTGACCAGTATGGTCTGTGTTCCAGTTTTTCCTGTTCCCTCCTGTTGCTTATATATTGTGTGAAAATTAATAGTCATTTTGCAAGTAATAATATGACACGGTATTGTTTATACACTCTGTATATAATGTACAAAACCAATCGTACTTTGTGGCTAATGTTATGTCATCATTTTGATTATAGGTAAGAAACTATATATATATATATATAGCGTACTGTAGATTTTTTGTGATAAAGTGTTGCTTTGACTTATTTTTGGAAACTAACACTGCATTGTAGTTATTACTGTGGTAATTCATTGCTTTTACTTGTTTGTGGAAACTACTAACCCATTTGTGGTTAGTATTGTGGTACTGTTACTTGTTGTTTACGTTGCTGGTACTGAGTTTAAGAAGCGTCATACCAACAACTGGCATAGAGAATCGTCGATTTACCGTTACTATTCTTTCGGTTCATTTTGTCGTATTAAATGAAACGTGTACAACTAATACTATGCAATACTCTTACTTGCCGGATATCCTATATTTACTGTTTAATTAGAAATAACTGCTACATTAAAATATATTTAACTCTGAAAGAACAGTTCTATTTCGTTTCCTGTTTCAAAAAATATATAGAACTCCAAATCAAAAACGTGCCTCTTACAGTGTATATGGAGCTACCAGAAGATTACTCTGATATTACTCCTATAACAGTATAATTTTAGGTTTATTTGTGTATAAGGTCTGGTAAAAATATGCATTTCTGCTTATAAGCTAGTTCATCTATGAAATTTTATTTTATTTTCAATATGTTTTGCCCCCAGTGGCACAGCGGTATGTCTACGGACTTACAACGCTAGAAACCGGGTTTCGATACCCGTGGTGAGCAGGGCACAGATAGCCCATTGTGTAGCTTTGTGCATAATTCCAAAACAAATAAACAAACAATAAGTTTTAGTATTTGTTTCTATTTATATTCTGTATTTATGGCAAAGGTATTAAGGCTATTTGCTACCCTCTCTATCTAATATTGAACTACTGATCAGATGGAAGACAGCCGGTCAGCAGCACTCTATCATTTACCATCCACGGAAAGGAACTGACTGTCACTGTTATGACGCACTCACCCCTGAGGCATTGGATGGATAGTGGCGGTGAGAAGAATAAATATTTTGTAACTAGAATAACAGAACAAACTTAATTTAAACCACATGACTCAGGTATAGAGACCAAGAAACTTCCTTTTATAAAACTTTTGGAAATAGCGCTTGAAATACCACGTGTTTCTAACTATCAGACTATGCGCAGTCACGTATATACGAATAGATAAACATGCTACTCTGAGAACGGAAACTCATAACGAGCATTCTCAACAGTGAATCTTCAGAGGAAGAGAACCCCTTAAATCAAGTGTTTCGGCCCTTAACTACCTTATACTCTAGGGGACCCGAGCCACATTTGGTGATCAGCCAAGTGTTTCCCTGCTGATTTTTCCCATAATGGGATATGAACCCTGGTTCTATGAATTACTAGATATTTGGAACCATTCATGCCCGTACTCTCGGCCCCAAATCTTACTGGAATTTAGAGGATTTTTATTCTCTTTCACCCTACTCTCCAGCTTTCATCACTTCTCTTTGCCTATATCCAATTTGAGGGCGTACTGTCGCTGCTAATTCTCTGAGAATCTTTGATCTCCTCTGACTTGAAAGTCCGAGCTGTTTCAATAAGTTGTAGACAGATACACTAGGTAACCTCCTTACTCCCTCTTTCACAGCAAAAAGTCGTGTGCCGTAGTCCTGGCTTTGGATTTCTTTCGTGAGTTCCTGGTGCCTCGCCAGCTTGATTTCATGTTTTTCACTTATTCTCGACTCATATGGCCCTGTCAGCTCGATTGCTACTATTGCCCTGCTGCTGTCAGAAAAGAAGATCAAGTTAGGTCTTTGTTCAGATATAGCAGCTACTTCTGAGTATTCTCTCATATCTCCAAGATCAGCTACTATCCCCCAGTCATTTGCAATGACAAGTATTCCACTTGTTGGTAAAGTCTGGGACTTTCTCAGGGAGCTCTGTTTGGTGCCTTCTCTGAGAAATTAAACTTGCTCTTTTGTAGGTGCCTTCTTTCTGTTGGCTCTACACTGTACGATGTCTACTGCTACTGCTAGCTTTTTTGAGAACTTGGTTATGTCTCCATGTATATCTGCCTCTTTCCAAAGCTTATTTGCAGCTGATAACACACGATCAAGTGTTTGTATGCCTGCGTACATATAAATAATTTGATGTACTATAACAACCCTGGATCTCTGGTAAAATGTAATATATTGAAACTGTATTGTACACACCTCCAAAAAAAAATATATATATAATCTCAAAACATCCCCTCACAGATTTTTGGTGTTTTTTTGTTTTGTTTTTTCATGCAGTGGATGTGCTGTTTTCTTGATTATGGCAAATGAGTGTCTTCTGATTTCTGTCTTTCTTATATAGTGGCTTAGTGTTGTCAAACGTCCACAAATTATTTCCCGTTTTTGTTCTTGTTAGTTGGTTTATATGTGTTTTGATTTGTATTGGCGTAATTTACATAAACCATGTTAGGCTTACTTTTCATGTGGTCTTAACACAGTTTTTAGCACAGATAGAACATTGACGTATTCAATTTTTTTAATAAGTTTTACTTGAAGTTGAGATAATTTGTCGTTATATATAAAACAAGTTAATATACAGTAAGAAAAAAAGAGTGAAATAGTGATTTTTGTTAATCTCTTAATTTTGTTTTTATTGTTGACAATAACAGAATTTTTTGAAGGGATCTGAAAGAGGTAGTAAATAATTTTGAAAGCTTAAAGAATACGTATACCGTTCTTTTAATGCCAGAGTAGATAAAATCTAAATATCTTATACTTCCAAATTAAATTCCAGGTTGGTTTCCTATAGAACTATACCATGAATCACTAAAATCACATTTACAGTTAAACCCAAAGTATGATTGAAACTGGCGGACAACAGCGCACTAATTGGTCATTTAATTGGTTTAAAGCTCTTCTAAAGTCTCGGCTTTTGTGCTTTAATATGAAACGAACAAACTCGAGACAGAATGTCGACTGAACTGCTTTTGTGCCTTGTTCTTTTCCGTTGGGAGGTCTTATGGGTTTCTCTGATTCATTTCAAATAAAACCCAATACAATTACATCATATAATCGACATATGCTAGACCAACAATGCACTTTCAGTGTTTAAAAACCAGGATTTTATTGAAATTACTTTATTATAAACTTTATAAGTAGAAGGCATGTTATAATGCTAAAAAAATCAAGCAAATTTTGAATATATAAAAAATTTTACTAAGCATGTAAATTTCTTAATAAATTAGAAACGTTATGTTGAAAGGCAATTTAAAATTGTGAAAATGTTGAATAACCAAATCACTTTAATGGTTAATTAGCTTAGGATATTTTAATGTGTTTTACTGGAGTTTTTTGTTAAACATAATGTCATAGTTTTCAGAATAAGACTAGCTAGTTAGCAAGAGGGAATTTTATTGTGAGTAGATTTTAGTCCAGATTTAGCAAATTAACATCGTAAGTTTTTCTTAAGGTGACATTAATGCAAATCGATTGGATACGAGTTTTACTAAAAACCTGTATTTTTGACAAGATAAAAGCTTCAAATGATATTAATATACTAGAAGTGAAGATTTCTTTCCGATCTATCATAATATTCTGCTTTTTTCTTCTGATACAAGTTTAGTCCAGAGGTTTCCGATTAATTTTCACACTAGACCACTCCAGATGAGGAAACACAAAACAAGAGTCAGGACTGAGCTTGTAGAGGAACACATTATTTTCCAAATACAATTTTACCTTCTTTTGCACTATCTGATCATAATTCGTTCAAAGAGCTAGGGTTTCGAGGGCCTGATACGGTCCACGGACCGCCTATTGGAGACCATTGCTGTAGTACACTCATCATTTTTTATCCTTTGGAAATAGAAGTAAAAAGTTACGTTCTTGAAATCCTTCTTTTTCTGTTCATTACTCAGATTCTAGCATTTAGAGTCAGGATGTATTTTAACCACTGTTTAAGTTAAACTTCAAGGGTTAATTTTACATTCTTTTAGGCTAGATATAATTTCAACGGGAAAAGTCATTGTAATTACACCAGCTATTTCAGAAATAACAGTGAGGATTTTACTTTCACCTTCCCTAATCCTAAATGAAGTAATTTCATAAACAAGTTATTTCTTTACTTAATAAACAGTTTTATTTACCAAAAGAAAAACGTTTTCTCAACATACAAGTATCTACCAAACCGATTGAGTGTTAAAGACCATGTGCCGAGACTGTAATACCTAGGTAACTATTTCTGATGTAGATTCGTATAGTATATACTGAACCCCCTTTTTTAACATTCTTAATTAAAAATGTGTTTTATTTTCTTATTTGTTTGGTCACATAAAACCTCACAATAGAATATCTACTGTAGGAATCGAGCTCCGAATTTTAGCTTTACATGCTCTAACGGAACTCGACTCGCAATCTGCGGGTCGAGGATTCGAATCCCCGTCACACCAAACATGCTCGCCCTTTCAGCCGTGGGGGCATTATAATATGACGTTCAATCCCACTATTCGTTGGTAAAAGAATTGACGGTGGGTGGTGATGACTAGCTGTTTTCCCTCTAGTCTTACACTGCTAAATTAGGGACGGCTAGCGCAGATAGCCCTCGTGTAGCTTTGCGCGAAATTCAAAACAAACCAAACCAAACATGCCCTCATAAAAATATTCATTTATATATTTTCTTAGGCCAAACATGGCCCAGTGATTAGCATGCCAAACATCGTATTTAAAGTTCCACAGTACACGTCACGTTACAAATAAAATAAAATAAAATAAATCATACTCTACACTTTGGGTGCGTTCCAGTTCTGAAAAGAATAGCCGAAGGGTTAACGGTGGATGGTGTTGACTAGCTGTCTTCCTTCTAGCACAGGTACATCTCGAGTAGTTTTTCTAATGCTAAAAATTGGGGTTCGATACCTGCAGTGGATAGATCACAGGTAGTTCATTATGTAGTTTTATGCTCAACAACAATAAAAAGCAAATGTCAAACACTAGCGAAGTTTTAGAAATCAATAGGCCTCAAATTTCTGATAAAAATCACGTACACAGCAAAATTTTACATATCCCTTTTAATTTGTCCAATTTGGACTCAAATTCAGCAACGTGTAAGAATAACATTCCAAAGGTCTATATTTTGTCTCCTTCAAGTCACTGGCCAAGAGCCTTTTAGTTCAATATTGGAACTCGCCAGTTGGGCAGATCGATGAGATAGTTTTGTTGCCCAAAGAAAACAAATAACATTTTCTCAACATACAAACCTTCTATAATAAGACTGGTAAGAACAACCAAAAGGTTGATGGTGGGTGATGTTGACTAGCTGTCTTCCCTCTAATCTGTTATTTCAAAATTAAGGACGGCTAGTTCGAGTAGCTTTGCACGAAATTTAACGTTAAAAACTAACGAAGCATAATAAACCAATACAACTAAAATGTATGATAAAAATCACGTAAAAGTAATGGGATTTTACAAATAAATCATTCGGAAGTAGATTGATTTTATTTTCTAAAAATAAAATATTGAGGTTATTTTCTTATGAAAATAACTTTTTTGTGGTGATGATTTTGTAAAACTATGACTTTCTATGTACATTATAAATTCAGTTCTTTAGCATAAATTTACCAGTTAAGAGTGGTGCTAACTTTAAGCAATGACCATACTTTTTGATACAGGCTCTAAGTAATCAAATAATAAACAAACACTCAATATTTCACGATTTACATTGAATATTTCTTATCATAACTCGTAAACTTTTAATCATATTTCGATTAGCAATGCGAGAGAAGGACAGACAGCTTGATCCTAGTTGTTGTTAGTTCAAACAAGCTGTTTAAACATTGGAAGTAATACGTGACAGGAATGTTACGTTTATATTTTGTGTCCTCTAAGCACAGGGTCTCGTAATATTTATGTTAAAATTGTATCTTGAAATTTTAAGTGAATTAAGAATGAATCTACCTGTTTTTCTGCGTAATAATGGTAAACGAAAAAAACAACGACAATTGGAGCACATTATATGTTGATAAACACAGGGTGTTAGATGTGAAATATTGAATACGTTTATCAATTGTAATTTATGTTAATTTCACAAAAGTAGTAAATTCTAGGATTATTTCAGTAAAACTTTTTGCAAATATTTTAACCATTACGTAATTGTACTACAAAGAATAAAACGATAGATTCAATTTTAGCGAACGCATTGGTTAATGTGTGAATTACAGAGCAAGTTTAAGGATTTCTTATCGTTTATTCAAATTTGAAATAGAATATTTTTAAAATGTATAAAAATATGCAGCTTTTCTGTTTAGCATAAATGGTGAGTTACAAAAACATTATTTCAGGCGTAACGGTGAACTGGCTTGATATATCTAAATTTAAATCATGGTTTCATAAAAACAGGAGGAGCTGTCGCCTAAACCAGTGGTTCTCAACCAGGGGGCCACGCCATGTTTATAATGGGCCACACGTGAATGACGGAAAATTAGGGAGCCACAGTAAATTCTGTGTGGGCCACCGAAACTTCACTGCTCGAATAAAATATTTAGATTCAAACGTGACAAACATTATTTCCGGATAAGTAGTGAAATATCTAATAAGTTTCCACAGCTATGGGAGAAGGCAAAGTTGTATTTTATCGCTTTTCCCACATTTATCTGGTTGAATCTGGTTTTAGTCGGCTGACTTATTTGCTATCAAAAATACGTAACCGCCTTGATGTTGTGAAGAGAGGTGCAACCGGACATTCAAAATCTTTCAAGTGTTCGTCAGGCCCAGGGATCACACTGAATAAAATGTCAATGATTAACAGAATATTTTTGACTTGCATAAGTAAACAGTATGTTATAAACAACATATTTAAAAACAAT